GAGGAAGAGGAGGATGCCTCCCCGCCTCCCCTCCGCCTCCCAGGCTGGCTGGCAGGGCCTCTGCCCCCCCCCCCCGAGCGGGCACGGGGTGCCCCACGCCCGTCGCAGGCGGTACGGCACCCGCACCTCATGGCCTGCGGCGGGCCTAGCTTCGCGGCGGCCTCGAGGTGGCGAGAGTCCAAGGTCTCCTCCTCTCTCTTCCCTCTTTCCCCTCCTCTCCCGTCCTCCCCTCTCCCTTCTTCTCTCCCTTCCTCCCTCCCTCCCTCCCTGTCTCCCTCCTTCCCCCCCTCCTCGTCCTCATCCCCGCCTCGCTGTCAACCCCCTGAGAGCTGGTGGGGGCACCTTGCGCCTCCACGCTTGCATCTGTGTGAACATGTCACGCCTTCCTCCCTCCCTCCCTGCTTCCCTCCCTCCCTCCTGCCTCCTTCCCTCCCTCCCTCCTGCCCCCCTCCCTCACTCTCTCCCTCCCTCTCCCCCTCCCTGCCTGCCCCTCTCGGATGGCGAGGTTCTGTTTGGGTCTGCGTGTGGCTCCATTGTGCGGGCTCTCCCAGCTGGGTGGAGTTCCCAATGCTCGGATACAAGCGAGAACCCAACCAAGGGAGGGTTGGGAAGCAATTACATATAGTCACCGCCCAGTGTCCCCCACCCGTGTGTTCTTGATCCGAGGTGGCTCCTACGAGTGTTCGCGCGTTCTCCTGCTTCGGATCCGCCTGCGCCTTCGGCGTCGTTGTCGAACTTTTCGTGATCGTCGCCGTCGTCCTCTTCCCCGCAGCCATGCAATTCTCCTCCTCGCCCTCGCTCTCCCCCTTTCACTACACCACGTCCCCCTCCTCCTACTCCTGTTACTCCTACTACTCCTACTCCTCCTCCTCTCCTCCTCCTCCTCCTCCTCCTCCTCCTCCTCCTCCTCCTCTTGGCCTTCTCGTTCTCGCATTCTTCCTCCTCCTCCTCCTCCTCCTCCTCCTCCGACTCCTACTTTTACTCCTACTCATACTCCTACTCCTACTCCTACTCTGACTCCTACTCCTACTCCTACTCCTATTCCTACTCCTACTCCTACTCCTACTCCTACTCTTCCTCCTCCTCCTCCTCTCCCTCTCTCTCCTCCTCCTCCTTCCTCCTCCTCCCTCCTCCTCCCCCCCTCCCTCCTCCCTACTCCTCCTCCTTCTCCCCCCCCCCTCCCCTCCTGCCCCTCCTCCTCCTCCTCCTCCTCCTCCTCCTCCTCCCCTTCCTCTTCCTCCCCCTCCTCCTCCTAGATCTGCTCATCGCACTCCTCTTCCTCCGCCTTTTCCTCCTTCTCACCCTCCTCATACGGATCCCGCCTCATGCTCCTGATGGGAGTAATTCTCGTCGTGTTCGTCGTCCTCCTCCTCCTCCTTCTGCTATTGCTCCTCCTCCTCCTCCTCCTTGCTATTGGCCGTTCTGGCTCAGGCTTTTTTTAGCCTCAGCATGCAGCAGCATACCTTCAGAACGGCATCGTGCTGTTGCGGGCCTCTGGCTCGGTATTTTCGTCGAGGGCGCACCCTCATTGTTTCGAAGGGTTCGCAGCCAGCACGTCCTTTCGGCAGCAATGGCAGGTGGTTCAGGCGGCGGCGGCAAGGGCAGGGTCTCTTGGGCCCAGTGGCACCGTGCGTGGAGCTCGGCCCCGCAGGCGTCGCCTGGAGGTCAGCAGCACGGGCAGTACTCTCATCGGCCCCAGATGCAGTATGAGTTCTCGTGGCCACCTCCCACTCCTGGTCCTCAAGTGCCTCCTGCCCCTCTTGCTGGTGGTGGCGTTCGGCGCGGTCCAGCGCCAAAGGGGCAGCGCTGGAAGTTTTTTTTTTTTTTTTTTTTTTTTTTTTTTTTTTTTTTTTTTTTTTTTTTTTTTTTTTTTTTTCTTTTTTTTTCTGCGGGTGCGGCGAGAACGAAACCAGGTTCTACTTCTGCAACCACTGCGGTGCGCTCAAGTCGGCCTCCCTGGTCGATCCAAGTTCAACTTGGTCAGCAGGACCCCAATCAGGTGGAGCCCACACAGGCGATCATGGTACATCTGCTGGCTTCGGTGGGGGCAAAGGAGGAGGCAAGGGAGGCAAAGGGCGCTTATCATAATCAGCGGCCAAGCCGCCTTTGTGTGCTGAGGAGTAAGTGCAGTTGGCGACATTGTGCGAGAAGCTTGGTGACAAGGTCGGGGCAGCTGCCCACCGTGTGGCTGCCAGGGCGCTCGCCGACAGAGTCTGCTCAGGTCCAGCTCAGTAAAGCCCACCAGCGTGCCAATATCATTGAGCGCAAAATAGAGCAGGCGGTTGACAAGTTCAATTCTCTCGAGCAGCAGCTGTCAGCTCAACGAGATCATGTTGTGCAGCTTCGGGCTGAGCTCGCGGAGGCTGAGGAACATCACAAGCAGCTGGTTCATAAGCTACATTCCACATTGCCTCAGGAGTCGTCTGTTCCTCGAATGCCCGCTGAGGTCCTTTTCGACGAGTCGAAGCTCTCTTCCTTCTTCGACATCGATTTCGGCGACACCTTCAAGTGCGATTTATCGGCAGACGACCATGGCGAATTTGATCTCCGGGTGCAGCAGCTCAAGATCGGTGTCAGTACATTGGCGAAGGAATCTGTTTTCGCTGGCCAAAGCTAATGTGGATGCCATCAAAGCTGAGCGTGCAGCCCACGCAGATCGGTTACAGAAGAAACGTCGTCTCGTCGAAGCAGGTGAAACAGATGGAGGTGATACTGGTCAAGAAGCAGCTGACGCAGGAGAGGCAGTTGCGCCTGGTGCGGGCGCCGCCTCTGCCGCGGCAGCAGCTGGCACAGCCAGTGATTCTGCCTCCACACGTGCACGTGCTGACTGGATCGCGAGTGGCAAGCCTTCCGAGCTCCGCCCTCCTGCATGATCGGCCGCGTCGGCTTGCTTTCGGTGGCCTGTGGGTGTTCTTCCTCGGGCCCCCTGGTCCTCGGGTGTCCGCTCGGGGCCGCTCTGGCCCTTCGGCGTATATCATGCAGGGGGGATGCGAGGGTTTTTCTAGTTTAGATTGCAATGGGGGCCTACTCAGCTGCTGCGGCTAGGCAGGCCCTTTGGTACGATAGAGGCATCCCTCTCCTATGTGTTGCAGCAGCGCGTTCTGTCTCGTAGATGGCCCTCCCTGCCGGCTCGTGCTGATGCGGCTTCTGGGGCGCCAGATGCTGCCGGCCCGTGCGATTTTGTTCTCAGACGACATGCGCCTTTCGATTTCTCGGCCTTCGACTGCGTATCCTGTGAGCTCTTTGGTGAAAGAGGCTCCTGGTCGCACCGCCTTGGTCAGGCTCCTGTTGCCTGGCCCCAGGGCCTCTCTTTGCAAGGATGCTTGTCTGTCTGGGAGCGAGTGCCTTAGGAATTCTGAACCGTCGTTGGGTCAGAGTCCTCGGCGCCGCTTCCCGTCCCCACCTTTTGTTCGAAGCGCTCGATCTTTGGTCTCAGGGCGCAGTGCTAGAGCTGGTTCGGCTCATGGCTCTCTGCGCGAAGCCTGTGCTGTCCAGCAGCGCGGCAGCTCTAATCAGTCGGGCTCGATTGCCCTGCATATTTACACCATCGATGCCAATTCCTGGGTATTATGCGTATGCTCCTCATTGATTGTAGACAGGCTAGCGCCTGGTGTCTCCGCCGGGGATGGAGGTCGGTGTGCGCGCCCGCCTCGGCCACCGATGTTTGGAGGGTGAAAGGGGTCTGCAACAGGGGGTCTTCAATGGGGGCTGAATGGCCCATGTATGCTCAATGTATCGCTCATGTATGTGACCGGGTACGATTGGCATCCAATGCTGGCGGTCATTGGTGGCCAGTCATTCGTGCCCGCGCGTTGCCCGCGCGGGCGCACGCGCCGTCCATCCATTATCGTTCGTGCGTGCGGGCGTTCTTGCATATTGCGCGTGGGTCGGCGAAGTGGAGTGCAAGTGCGTCTTGATTGTGCGGTTGATGATCGCGTATGTTCCCAAACGATGACTTGTCGACCCCCAAGACAGATTTGGAATGGGCCCCGCGATTCTCCAAAAATGTGAATTCGCATTTTCCTTTTTCCCAAACTGTGAAATCACATTTTCCTTTTTCCCAAAATGTGAATTCACATTCTGGCCCTTTCATAAAGAATCCTACACGCAATTCCAAAATGTGAACTCACATTTTCCTTTTTTCCCAAAATGTGAATTCGCATTTTCCTTTTTCCCAATTTGTGAATTCACATTTTGCTTTTCCCCACAATGTGAATTCACATTTTGCCCTGGCCTTCAAGATCCCCAAAACTGAGGCGCAGTGTTCCGCATGCCAGATTTGCTGGGCAGATTTCGACACTCGCCCGACCGCTTTCGTGTGTTCCAGCCTGTTCTTGTTGCGCCCTTAGCGCACGTTGCCTTCGTCGCCTTTCCCGCGCCCCCCGCCCCCTTGCTTCCTTTCCCCTCGAGTCTCTCGCGCGGGTGCAGGCGGGGGGCTACAATTAGTTCCCCCGCCGAACACAGCAATCGAGGATGCATCGCCCATTCATGGCTTTTAAAAACATCATTGCCGGGACCCTGCGCCCGGCCCCCACTTTCGCCCTCCAAGATGTGGGGGATACCAGTGGGGGTGTTGCCATTTTCGTGCGCAGCTGTCTCGGGTGCCAGGACTTTCCAGGAGGCCACGGTTCCCAGGGCAGGGGTCTTGTTTGCTCGGTGGAGCTCCCTGGCACCCCTCCTTTCCTGGTTGCCTCTGCCTACATTCGGAAGGGGTGTCAGATCGCAACATGGACTTATTGGCCAGCGCAGGGTCCTTCATCTCCTCTTCTGCCAGCCCGTGGATATTAGGAGCTGATTCCAACGTGGAGCCTGGTGAGGTGCAGGGCTCTTAGTTTGCGCGCGAGTTTCGTGGCGCGTTGGTCGCCCCTGCCGTCTGCGCGCGCCATCCCGCTGGCCCCCCCACCATTGTTTGTGGTTTCCAGTGGCTTGGCCAAGGCATCGAGAGGGTCGAGGCGATGTTGGACACAGAGCTCTCGCCCCGCCGCCTCCTCCAGGTTTGGACTGGCGTGCAGACTTCGGCCGATTGTGCTCAGGCCTTCGTTGGTGAGGGCAATGCTGAAGGGGCCCGTCGCATCCTGGGGCAGCTTTACCACTCTTGGGCGGGCGCTGCTGAACGTGAGTTGGTGCCCTAGGTGG